AGCTAGTTCTCGAGCTGAACTGCCTCCTGGCCAACCCCCCCAGAGAAGCTAAAAAATCTTTGACTGAGTGTAGACACTACAACTACCTGGCAACAACTGAAAACATCAGTGTGTTATCAACATCATTCTCATACTAGAGCAAAACCACAGCACTATATTGGCTACTATAAAGAAAATTAACTCTATCATCTCAGCTAAAACCAGGACACTGCTATACACAACAGTGGGGTTTAACATGCATCTTGTGAACTCTCAGGATACTGAGGCCCAGGGAACTCAGTGTATTTCATCGGAAAGAAACACCAAAAATATATTACTTTTCTGTAATAATGTTCAAAATTCCTCTTTTTTAAAAGATTTTTTACATAGATCAAAATGGGTGATGTTGAAAAAATGCAAGATCTTGATTCAGATGTGTTCTCAGTGCCGCACAGTTGGAAAAGATGGAAAGTAAAGACAGAACCAAATCTTTGGGGTTTATTTGGCCGCAGAATGGGACAAGCTGCAGGACTTTCTTACTCAGATGCAAACTAGAACAAAGGTAAAACAGATGACATGGTTGAGGTCCAGTATTGGAGGGGACATGTATGAAAAAAACCCTTTTCCTTTAGAGGTACAATAGAAAGCCTTACTCACAAGGAGTTACTCTCACAACTGTCTACTTTGCATTACTGCAGATGAATCTGAACTATAGTTTTGGAAACAAAAATCCTTGGTCTCTATATTAAAAAGAGATTTTACCAATATTAGCACACCAGGTCAGAAGGTATATAGCTTTCCCAGAGCTCTGTAGTATCAATGGGCAGATTTTCATTTGTTTCTTAAGAGTGCTTTTATATTTTGTTTGCTGGTCACCACCCTCTACTGGCATCGTGGTGTGCTGCAGTTGTTTTGCTCAGAACACTTGACCGAATACTGTCACCTACTAGTAAGCTATGACTTGTCTTGTGTTTTTCATACAGTCAGTCTTGAAAAGCAGTGGAACATCCAAAAATGGAAATTAATTCTGTGTGGCTTTCATTGTTTTTATTTATATTATTTGAATATTTATTCAAATTATACTATTTAATAATTTATTCAATATTTATTTAATATTTAATAATTTATTCAAATTATACTATTTGAATCAAGCTTTTAATTACAAATGCAGACCTGGTGTTTTTCTGGTTACTAAGGTGCTGTAGAATTGGCTAAGTTTTTTATTTTTCTGTGATTTCTAGGAAATGTTTTTGACATTCACTTTCTACTGGGACTTCCTTCATAAAAAACATCATCAGCATATATTAACTATTTTTTTCATTAAAAATTTATTGAACAAATCATACAGATGTTAGTACAAGTTTTTAAAAGAAAGCTAACAAAGTGGGATCTAAATCCACTTTAGACAATGGGAAGCGTCAACTCTGGAGGACAGAAGAGAAATTTGAACATGTGATTATAGGTATTTCAGTAGTCTTCAGTACAAGAGTAGGCTTCTGTTGACAGAGACGGGTTTTAGCGGGGTTGGAAGGAAACACTAAGAGTCTTTCAACTTCTGTCAAGAGATTCCAGGAACTGGCCATTAACAACCCTTTTTCTAATGCCCTTCAATGGAGCACAGCCTTGATGAATATCATGTCCATCTGTAGATGCTCATTTTCAACAACCGTATGAAATTCAGGTTGGATCTTCTGGATACTAGAATTACAAAGATACTTACATAGTTTAAAAGTAGTAAGTAGTTGTATGTGAAATGGTGCAAAGAACTGCAATGCTCCATGTTGCAAAAAGGATTTATATTTGACTTATTAAAGTGACACAATGTATACCTTGTGCATTTTATATTATGTATCATTTCTGCTCACATTCCTCTTGGATTCTAGGCATATTATGTTCAGGAGCATCACACCTTTGATTTGAGACCATTGGTATTTTAATAAATATATGATGTTGGGCCAGCCTTGTATTTTACTGTTTTTTTGTTTTCAGGAGCTGTCTAGAGTGTGAATACACTGACGGAGTATTTGGAAAACCCTAAGAAATACATTCCTGGTACAAAGATGATTTTTGCTGGAATTAAAAAGCAGAATGAAAGAGCTGATCATTGCATACTTGAAAAAGCAACTTCATGAAACACTGCTGCAGCAGCTGTAATGTCAGTGAAAATTGTTTTGAATTTTGACTAGCTCCTGTGTCAAGTTTTAGTACTTTGATGTTATTTATTCATTAAGAACTGGCCTTAGCAAAATCAAATAAGGATATGTTTTAAGATCCTGTATCCTAATAACATTGGGAGGTGAGCATTATTTATATTGTGTTATATATTTCATAGACCTTTGTGGAGTGTACTTTAGAAATACTGTTCCATTCTATAAGGAGATCTGAGAGCCTAATTATACAACTAGTTATTGAAACATCCACTGAAAACATTGTGGCTATAGAAATAAGAAAGTGCCTGTAAGTATTAGGACTGACAACTAAATGAAGTTTTTCTTTTCAAAAAAAAAAAAAACCCAACCCTTCAGCATTATCATCGGTGAAGGAAAGTACCATACACAGTAGATAACAAAACATAACTTTACATTGAAAGCACTATATAAGGATAATGGAAGCAGAATATCAGCAATATCAGATATTTTCAGGGGACAAGTAACCTAGTTGTCCTAAAAGAATCTTGAGGAAATACCTGAACACCTATGACCTTTCTTGGTTTAAAAATATAACCCCATTCATTGTATTGTTAGTGTTCCTTTGTGTACTAAAAAAACCATAATCACCTACCATTCATTTTTCAGAGTTGTGGATTTTTTTTTCCATTCGAGGCTAATATATTAAGGTATCCTTATCCTCTTAACATGTAGGATGAATGAGGGCTAACTAGCTCAAGCAAATTATAGTAGTAGATATTTTCACTAATGGTAGAGGATTGATGAAGGTGATTAAAGTCCTCCTAAAACCTCCTCATGAATCTCTGCCACTTGAATTGTGATTTACAATTCAATTCCCTGCTTACACAACTGTAACATTAAAACATACTTCTCTCAAGCAAGGTTTCCTTATGTCAGCACAGAATGGAGCATTAGTACAGAACTAATTTGCTATAGCATCTATTCCCAGGTACTCATTTTATCGGTATTGTTCCAGTGCTTACCCAGTAGGGGCTTTAACTGATTGTCTTACAGCTCCATAGAGCTGAACTGCTGTTTTTAATAAGGGAATAAGCAAGAGTTGGGTAAAAAGTTCTGTGACACAAGTGGATGAGTATTTGCTTTTTTTTTTCTTTTGTGCTGTAGCTAGAAGATACTTTCCCCTTTCAGTTTAATAGTTCACTGTTTAGACAATTAAAGCATCTGCCTGAATGACGAAAAGTTTCTCAAGTGCTTTTCTCAATTGTATTTTGAAGAGCATTATGCCATTGCCCTTCTGAATAGAGAAACACACTCTGCCTGAGAAATGCATTGACATTTCTCCTCGTGGTTCTTTTAGCACATCTCTGTACGTTTGAACCCAAGGAGACCAGGTGAGACTGGCTAAAGCCTGCCTTGCTTCCTGAGTTGGTATTGTGCATCCATACCGATAAAAGGTGCATCATACATAAGGTGAATCAGATATAACCTGCCTGTACCTCACTGCAGCAGACCTGTAGAATTACCAAGGCAGCATAATCCCATGAAGCCAACTAAATCCACCTGCCTTTTTGGCCCTACCACAAAAGGCTGCAAATAATCTCTCTCAGGTCCACACATGAAGCTGCAGCCCAAGTGTATGGTGCGTTTGGTTTACTCACCCTGCAATCAGAGGCATAGTTTGATGTATGCCAGAACACAGATCCAACTTTTCTCTGATGCACACCAGGCCAGGTTTCTGAGCACGTTTTACCATGAAAGCATGTCAAAAGGCTGCTCAAGTTACGTAATAGACAAACCACCGTGATCATCTTTGTCACATTTTATCTTTAAAAAAGAGGATTATAGTTTATACACAGATTTGGGGCTGCAGAGTTCTTCACAATTAAGATGTTACAGTAAATTGTTCACTATGTATTTTATGCAATGGAAACAACTGCTTCTTCCTTCAGTCTTGACTCTGCTATTTGAGTGATTGTCAATATGCAGATTTTTGTTGTAATCAAAGCCCCTTCCAAACAAGGAAGACCTGGTTTATACCAAGCCTTACAGCAACATTAAATTGCTTTAAGTGTTTACATACAAAATTGCTTCACAGTAACCATTTTGTTGTAAACTCTGGTGTAAACACTCAGACCAAACCTCACTACAGTGAGATGGTAAAAATTATTTACATACAATTATTTCACTTGTATGCAGACGCCCCAGGTCCTTGCTTGAGAGCTCAGGGTATGTGCCCACCAGGCCTTCAGCAGCTTCTGAGATTTCTTTGTGTAAGTAACTGGAGCGTCTGTGCCAGTGTTGCAAAAACGCAAATGCCACTGGAAAGGCCAAGCAGCAATTAGTGGCTGCAGGCAAGCGGGCGCCCTTCAAGGGTGATGGTGACGCAAGCGCCAGCAAACGCCAGTAGCTGAGGACGGCTCAGCGGCAGCACAGACAGCACTGTACAGATGTGCACCAACAGCGTGGATGCTGAGGGGATCGAGGGTGGCTCCTCAGCTGTGTCTTCCCAAAAGTGGGGCCTCCACCGAAGATGTGACAGTCGCTGGCACAGGCTGACGGGCTGTGAAATCCCTGCTGCCACACGTGAAATCCCTTTACTTCACAGCCCCGGCAGCGTGTCAGCAGCGCACCGAGAAAAACGCTTAAAAGATTAGTACTTCAGTCGCCCTTGCCCTTACCGAGATACGCCTGCAATTCCATGTCCAAGCTACCTGTACGGAAAGAGCTCAGCGAACCTACCGAGAGGTGCGAACCTACAGGGTGTCCTCCGACGTCCCCGCTTCCTGCCCCCTGGCCCAGCACGCCGCTCCCCCCGCAGCCCACTCCCCATGGGTGC